TAACTCAGATAACTGCACTAATGCTGAGATTCTCAATCAAGACTCATCTTATAAAATATTTTGTAAAATTCACACAAAACGTTGAGAATTTCAAATGAGTCAAACAATCGCAAAAAATTTCAGAAACTTCATTTGTTCTTTCAGACGCACTATCAAGAAAAATTTTGGAGCAACTTTTTCACTATCCAATTCCAGTTTCAAATACCAACGCTCTATATCCCAGCCACTATTACATTTTTTGAAAACTGTGAAATAGATGGAATTTTTTCAACAGATAGAAGATAAAAATTGCTTTGCTAGGTGTAATTTTTCACGCTCTTTCTCGTGGTATGCTTTTCAGTGAGTTAAAGTGTGATTTTTTTGTTCCGAAATTTGGAATTTTCGAAGTTGTGAATTGTATGCATTGCAACTCGACTTTCGAACCAAAATTTCAAAATTTTTTAAAAATCTTTTTGCCAGTAGAGAGCTGCCACTCTTCTACATCAGTTGGTGTGTTTCTCAAAAAAAATTTACGGGAAATCTGGCGAAAAATTCGAAAAAACTCCAAGTGGTCTTATATTTTTAGCCACCGAAAAACGGTCTCTTTTTTTTCAAACTTTTTTTGCGTGATAACCATGTAATATTCGAACATTATTTTTAATAGATTTTGAAAGAGGACAAAATCTATATCCTAGAGTAAAACCGAGCACAGTATGTCTTCTAGTCAAGGAGAAAAATAAGCGGAAAACCAAACAACCAAGGTGAATCTATAATTTTGGCCACTACTGTATAAAAGCATCACTTACCATATAAAACTAAATTATCTTTCACTTTCCTCAACCGCTCGGTGCTTATCTATGACTTCAGAAAATTCTTCATCCGAGATACTGCGAAATAATGTTCTAAGAGAGAAAGGGGGCTCATAGGCTACTCGATTATGGATGTCTAAAACTTCCTAGTTTTCAAGTAAGAACTATTTTTCTCGATACAGGAACACTTGTAAGAGAAAATAAGGTCATATTCGGATTCAGCACGACGAAAATTGACGAAAATTGACTTTTTTGATAGAAAGAGTTCTTTTAAAAGAAATTCAGGCGCTTAGAAATGCAGTATAACTTAGTGAAAGAAAAAGATGTCTTCTGAGTATCCATAAACTAATCATCTAATTAGGATTTTAATGTAGCTCAGTAATCTGTTCTGAACTTGAATCAATAATCAAAACATATTGGATCACACGTCAAAAACATATATGCAACAGATATGCCATTTGGCTATCTGTAGTGATTCTAGAGAGAACAACATTTTTTCTAGAATTGCCTATTTCCCATGCCATTGTTTGTGCTAATAGAAAATGCTTCAATCATATTATACTTGAAATGTTCTCCAATTTCATTCACACTTACCTTTCCTTCGCCCTCTAGTTTCACCATTATTCAGAATTAGACGAATGTCTTATATGTTCAGTTCTATAGTTCTTGTCCTTTGCAAAAATATTTTTTCAGTTCCTCAATGTCGTGCAATGTGTCAACAGACAAAATTTGAATTCTATGGTAGTCAAAACTACAGTTTTCATGTGTTTTTCGAAGCTTGCAAAGGCAGTGTAACGAATTACTTTTTGTTGCACTACTGGTCTACCTATGGTTGACATGTTATAATAAAAAGACTACGTGATTGATTAACCAACAGTTAAGCTCTCATGATATTTGAGAAATGCCTTATAAAACCATATACATATATTTTGCCGGAACTTTCAACTTCTTTGAACTCATTCACGTGCTCAAGAGCATGAATTATAGGATTAAACATTGGACAACATCAAATAAGTTTATGAAAGTCTGATTTCTTGAATTCCTACCTGAAAAAAGTCGTTTCTGAAATTTTTTGCGATTGTTTGACTCATTTGAAATTCTCAACGTTTTGTGTGAATTTTACAAAATATTTTATAAGATGAGTCTTGATTGAGAATCTCAGCATTAGTGCAGTTATCTGAGTTACCCAAACCGAATAATATATTGATCTTTCTAGTTCTGGTGAAAATGATATTGATGAAAGTGGCTATGAGTATGAAGAAGGTGCAATAAATATGATTAATATGTGTTTAACTCCCACTGATTTTGAACGTTATTGTATCGGTGATTCATGGATTCCATCACCGATGTCTCTATTAGAGACAGATTATAGAGATCAACAGCAACAATCCCAATATTTACCATCCAGAGTCACAGCAACAGTCAACACCACTGCTTCAATACCGTTGGGGAATACTATGAGTGCTAACTTAGAAATATTGACAACTGATATCAATGATGCTGTTCAAAGAGCGTTAGATAATTGGAAAATAAATAATAACAATAGCTCATCCAATAATGAAATTTTAGAATCACTTTGCGCACCAATAAATAATGATCATCAACAGACAAATGGAAAATATTATGATCATAATCATCGGCTAACAGCAGTAAATGAAACATTACCATTCAATTATGAAGATTATTTGCTGTCAAACAGAAATATTGCTTTGCTAGATGAACGAGATTATGAGAGAAATGATCCAGACGACAATATATTAGAATACGGTTTGAATTACATTTACTTTTCAATTGTTGACACAATGTGTGTCTAAATATCTTTTCAGATGGTACACCACTGCGAATATCAGCTATGTTACGTTGTTCTAATCGAAATGAAATACGTAATAACGATAATGACATAAGTATTGGTAACAATGAAAGCGATGTTACTAGAGCACATCCGACTGTCCATATTCGAAATGAGATCCTTAATAGTACTAACGAACAAAGTCAACCAACAGTACTTGATCTTTCAGTAATAACACATTCTGATACAGCACAGACCATAACAGTGGAACAACCATCATCAAATGTGCCCCCAGGTATGCAGCATTAGATGTATAAATTATTTATCAGTATTTTTTCCTCACTCAGAGTTTTAGTGACATAAAAAAACAATGGTTCTTGAAAGTAACTATAGTATTTGACTTAAGATTAATATTTGATTTAGAATCTGTTGTCGAAAATCATGCATCACAGAACGCCTATAATGTTTATCGCAATTATGATCCATCAACATGCAATAACACTTCTCAAGAACAACGACAACAAGCACGAGAAAGTCGTCACTCTCACGGTCATCATCGACATCGACATTCGAAACATTGACAACCATTACTACCATCGAGTAGTGAAAATTAATACTCATTTAGAATAGTACGATAATTATAGTACGATGAAATCTCATGAATGGACGAACAGTGATTAAAAATCCAAAATGAACATAATTGCTGATTACTATTCGTGACATTTCTTTCTCTTTTTTCCCCCATATAGATTAGTTATACAATCGCTTTTTTTGTTCATTCTTTTTTCATTTTTGAAGGGTGGTCAGATAAAATCAACCTTTAAGTATTTAATGATAATTTTTCTTTTCGTTGGTTTTTCTTTCTTTTTTTTTTTTGTATCAATTTATCCAAAAGGAAGACCCTCTATTGTTGTGTATTTGTAAAGAGAAAATATGTGTCTTCTTTTTGTTGTGATTGTTAAAGATATTAACTCTCTATCACATGGAGTCGAATTAATTCAATTATAGTTTTGATCTCACCATGATTAATTACCATTATAAAAAGATTATAAACAGACAATCATAGAAAAATAGAAGATTTTTAAATGAAAAACTAACTAGCTTGATGTGTTAGATACTGACTAGAATTAATTATTTTCTTTTTTTTCATATATATATATATAGTGAAAAATTGTGCGTATGAAACAAAGATACAAAAAATAGTTCATTCATTTATGAATACTGATGAGCCGTGTTTGCATTCTCTTGAGATGCCAATCATTTGATAGACAACAACGGAAAGACAAAAATTATTGATAAATCTGAATTTTGACAAAAAAAAAAAATCTGTAGTTTATCATGTCGAAACGCGAACAGAAGCGTTAATACTGTACAGTTATTGCTATCAAGTAAATGAAACAGGTAAGAAACAATATGCTGTTTTCAAACAAGAACTAATTATCTTGGTAAGTTAAAGAATATAGTAAATTTGAGTATTAAATTATAAAAACAAATGGCCAAAGAAGATTTAACATATAGAACTAAATTAAATTCATTATTAATCCAATAGAAAGGTCTTTTTTTGTCTCTAGGCCAAGGACCTAATGGAGGTCGTCGACTTAAGATTATTCTCTTGTCAACATCTTTCCGACTATAGTCAATTGTAATTGACTTCGAGTTACACACAATAAAATGATATGCATAATAATAATAATAATGTCACAATTTTTTTCTTTTCATTTTTGGTCTGTCTTTTTTTTTTTAAAAAAAGAGAATTGTCCTCTTTTCTATTCATCTCTCTCTTTCTCTCTCTCCGAAACATATATATATATATATATATATCGGATTTAAGAAAGAAAAAAATGAAACAAACGCGATTTAGAAGGATGAGTACGTGATTGACATTGTACATGCGAGTATTAAGATCAGTCACCATAATCCAACATTTATAGATGAACTTGAATGTTAAATAACAAGCATATAAAAAAAATCTATACTTCAATGATTTATTGTCTCTTTGTATAAAAGAAAAGATGAACAGCTTTTCGATTTTTAAACAACGAATGTTAATTATGCGGAATAATCTTTGAATATTTATTATCTGATTCAAAAATATTATCGATAAATATTGTGTATATTTGTTAAATTCATTGTTCAATCTCCTTCATGACTATTAGAGGTAAGTAACTAATATGATTATTTAAAATTCAGTACTAATTTCAGAAAGCCAGATATATTGTATATTCAGAAATTTGTATACTGGTATATTATTTAGTTAAAAAATTTGTTTTAAAAACATGAATCGATATACGATGTCATATGAGTCTTAAAACAGATCATAATTTTGCTTTATTTTCACTTAGAAATTGTTGTTTCTTTCGATATTAAAGGAGTGTGTAATGATTTCAATTTTCGTCTTTTAGTCTTATACATTCAACATAATGGAAAATATCATTATGATTTATGAATTTATGATTAAACCAGATAAAATATCGTAATTTTACTGTATTTCCTGTTACGTGTCACTTTCAATAACAAATATTTCGATCGACTGTTTCCAAATGATTTAGCCCTATTTATTAGAAATGCAAATAGTGATTCGTGTGAAGTATGTGTATTCTCAAGCACTAGTAATAGAAATTAGTATTTATTATTGCTTGAGAGTATTCCTTTCTTCTACGATTAACAACTACGCATTGCATCCATCAAATATTTTGTAAAATTTTTATAGTCCTTTTATGAGCAAAATGTATTTATTTATCTTTCATGATTATGACTTGGATCTCTAGTCAGAGGCAAAAGGTCATTATCGATACATAAATAATAGACGCAAAACCTGAAGTTCACATTTGTCATTACAATTTTAAATGAAATCAAAATGTTGTTTTTCGGTTTAATGTTCGTTGATTTTTGACTTGATTAATTTCTTTTTAATCACGATTTTCAAATAGAGAAAAGCGAAAAAGTCGGTCTTTAATTCTAATGAACGTACTAAATATTTATTTTTACATCACTGGTGGTTGGTGTATTGTTTTTTTCTCTACACTTTGAAATTATGTCGAGAAGCCGAAATTGAATCAAGAGGAGAGTTGATTTTATATTAATAGTTGATCTTCCTCAAGTCATTTGTGTTGTGTATAACTCATATTGTAAATAGTATATCTGATCACCAAAGAGCAACTATAAAAAGAAAATATATACATTAATAAAAAAAATAACATGTCTGTGTTTTTTATGCGCAGGTTAATAACAATAGAAAAAGGAAGAAACAAGGCGATACACAAGATCTTTTTTCTATTATTGAGTAAAAGATAAAATACGAGCCAAAGTTTATGAAAAATTTTAATGGATTAAATACAAAATTTTTCCAAAACCATGATAAAAGCTTACGGTTCATGATCACAATTATCAAGAACAAGAAAATGATGAAGAAGAATTATGTACAGTTTGTTTGTTTTTTTTGTTACTTGATTAGAATTTTTTTAATAATAAGAGAAAAAAATAACTCATTGAAATATATTCTTAATTCTTTGTATTAGAAATAAATTGTTAAAAGAAAATGTACACTATTTTTGATTATGATTGTTGTCATCAATCCAATCCTCATTGAAATAAACACAATATCAATTTATATTTGAATTAGAATTTGTAATTGTACCAGAATACGACTAAGATAGAAAAAATGAAAGAGATGAACAATCAATATATGATAATTTTGAAGAAAAAAAAGAAACAAGCAAACAAAAAAAAACGTCCAAAATCCACTAAAGTCAGAAATGCTCCAAAAGGCTAATACCATCAGAATTGTTAGTTTTTTCAGTATAAGGCCGATTTACTGATGATAGTTTTGAAACTGTACTGAGTATTAGTTTACAAATTATCATGATTTTTACAAAAATTCATTAGATTATTGTTTTTGTGTTGTTTGATTTCTAATATACTTATGTTCATTACGACGTTGTTGAGCATATAATCGTTGTAAGGTGTCGGGAATTCATACTGTCAGTAAAAGTTCTTTTTTCATTTTTCTATAAATGATTGGATAGAACACATCGAGCTGAGTAAGAAAAACTGATTTTTAATTTTCTAAAAAATCTTTCTTAGAAAGAAAAATTGAAAATATTCGAAAGGTCTAAAATTTTGAAAAACCTTTCAGTGTCAAAAAAATTCAAATTCTTTTGTTTTTCATTCTTTTAACTTTTTGAAAGCGTTTTTCACATTCAGCATCAAAAACAGAGTATGAGAATGCCACTGGTGTATATGTTGGTGAGACAGAAATGGAGAAAAATGTGCTAAAGAAAGAGCATCAGCAAAATATCAAAAGGTAGATTCCAATTCGAAACTCGCTCAGCACGCTAACCAAAAACCTTCATATACATCAGACTTCGATAATGTCGAGCATCTTTGCTTTGAAAATGACTGACGGCATAGGGTGATGATCACTCATGACACATTTAGCAGATCATACAACAGTACCAAACACGTAAATACAATATTTAGTTGATTAGAACTCATCAATATCCCATGTACTTCATGCATAGCTTCTGCGATAGAGAAAGTTCTAATCAACTTGTTATTTAAAGAAATGCGTCTTGAAAGACAAATAACATCTGGGATGAATCATCAATGAGAGCCGCAAAATAGATTCCAGAAAATGAATAGCGGAAAAAAATTGTTTATAATCGTTCTAATGCCTGATGGTGACTACTGGATGAAGTCGAAGACTTGGATTCCTATTTATATTTTGCTAAAGTTTAAACAAATAATAATTTAGCTGAAATTCCTTCTCACATAATTTTTGAAAGATTGATTATTCAAGTAAATGCAACAATGAAATAAAAGAAGAAGACACCAGACAAAACGGACGCCCAAAGGGGAAAAAGAAACTGTACTACCTAATAGCTACTTCTCAGAACTTAGTAAGTAGATTAGCTAGTTTTAACTTACTTGAACAGACGTACAAAGGGATCTCTTAATAACTGAATAATAATATTAACTGAAAAGTATTAGCCGAAAAGGCCGAGAAGCGATAAAACTTAGCCGACAATGTGAAACAACAGATCGTTCGCTTCTGCTTCTATTCTGCGCCTTCAAATGTGCTCGCAGTCTAACGCTACTTTTCCTCACGAATGAATCGCAACGGATTTCGTTTTCACTACGCCAAGCATCTTGGGTACAGCAATAGAATGACCATTTGGATTTGAGATCACTTTTATCAGAAGATAACGAAATAAGCAAAAATAAAGAATAACTTTGAAAAGTGAAAACCAAACGAAAGATCATTTTGTAGATATACATCAGCACAATATTATATACTAATTAACCATTGTCAAAGGGGAGGTGATTCATCGATGCGAGAAAAAATCTGATCATCATCTTAATATTTTTCCGGGTTTTGTTGTTCACTAATTTTACCCAAATCTCATGTGCATGTGTTGACATTTTACTCGACAGTAGGAGTTTAAAAAATTGTATATCTTTGAGATGATTCATTTTCCGGTAGCACACTGATAATCGAAAATGATACTTATGAATGAGCTGCCAATAAATGGATAAACCTGTTTTTGGGATGATAGATGAATTTCCATCCATAAACCATTTC